GCCCAACTAATTAATATTTTTCTTTTGTTTAACGCCATCTAACTTTACAGAAAAATAAATATCAAAGTTGTCAATTAGAAAGTAGGGGGTTTAAAGTTATAACGGAAGGAGGAAGAGGAAATTCCGCGAAATGTAGCCAAATTTCCGATTAGCTAAATTAGCTGGAAAATTTTAAAATACCGATTATCAACTCGAGTCCGATAATAATCGGAAGAAACTAGGATGAAGCAATTTATTTAAACATCATTTTAGTGGAAATTAAATAAAATAAATAATTATTTAATACTTTAAAGCGCTGTTTATATATATATATAAATAAATCAATAATATCGAATGTGATAGTTTATATAAAAGAAAACGTTGTTTGAGCGATACAATCGTCTATTATTGGTCGGTGCGAATGCATTCTACAGGTCCTACTCTACATTTCGGACTTATAGGGCTACTTAATTAATATCCTAGATGAAGCGTTTCGCCAATGTAAGGGATCCCTGTGGGACGGGGGAGAGCGGGACAGCTAACGGACCGTGTGGTTATCAGAAAGGTGGGTGGCAAACGTTCCCTTTGTGTTAAATAGGCCGACAGAAATGTGTTGCCAGCTTATCTCGCTATAAATACAGCGCCGACGTATGGCGGAGTAAGTTAGGAATGAATCCTTTGTTTGGATCTTCTTTTGTCCTCTTCTCAGTTATCTCCGCGTTGACTTTCTGTACTACATCAACTGCATCCCCGTTCAAAGCGTTTTTTAATCGAAAATTCAAACAAAGATGTTGACGTGTAGACCTTTCCGTGTTTAACGAGAATAATTAATCATTTGTTAAAAAATTAAAACAAAAAAAAATCTATATTAATTAAAGTTAAGATTTGGCAGTTGACTTAACTGCCATTGCAATAGTAATGAACTTGTTTAGTTTATTTAAACATTAGAAAGATGTCTAATAGGTAGTTTGTTATCTAATCATATCTAAACCGTTTAAAATGTTCTTTCTTTGATCTTAAATGATAGAAAATACTTCAAAAAAATTTTCCCATTAAATTTCATTTAAATCTGAGTCTACAAGACGTTTGTAAATACTAAAATCGATAGTTTAAGACTCATCTGAGAAATTCTAAGTAGAAAAAGAAACATCCAAAAAAATCGAAGATTTTTTTTAAAATTTAGATTTATATTTTCGAAGCGTATTTTCTACGTTAAATTATTCTATTTAAACAAACTTATATAAGTTACGTTTAAATTAAACAAAGTGAATTGGTAGATGTTAAGCTCAATTAAATAGTCTACATAAAACCGTGAATAAATTTAAGTTGGTTTAAATAAAGGCCTCCTTAGCATAGAATTAATGGACTACTTCGGAAATTGGGCAAGCAAAGTAATGAACTTTAGATTTTACAACAGTTGATTAATGATTAAGTTTAGATCTTTCTGCCGATAAAGAAAGCACAGGGCCTAATCTAATATCTTCATTTTGTAATAGAAATAGGAGACAACTTAATTCGGTTTATTATCAAATATTTCATTAAAAAACCTATAGGCATAAAATTTTCTACAATATTTTATTAAATTTATTTATTTTGTTTTATAAGAATAAGATGTAAGAAAAGATTATTTTCAATTTGTCCAATGTAATGAATCATGAATATTATTTTTGTAATATAAAATATAGGCCTTAAAAAATGATCAAGTTAAAAAAAAAGTACAGTACAGTACATTATACCTTTGTATATGTGTCTTTTTTATTAGTTTTTTCCCCTCTTTCAACATTTTAGACAATTTAATCTATCAAATTATGTTTTAATATCTGTAAGTTCAGCATATTTATTTAACTGATTAAGAAAGAAGGAATGAAAAAAAATCTTTCAACAGATGATTTCTTATGCTGAAAGCTTTCTAAACGATTGCATTTAATTTTAATCTTGGCTAAAGCTCAAAATCGAAATGACTACTGTAAAATTGACGTATAAAAATCAATTAAAGAATGATTAAAAATGTAAAAGTCAAACAGTATTATCAAATTTTTATCAATTTCTTTTTTCGTAGATTATACTTTTTGCAGAATTTTAAACTTTCATGAATGAGAAATAATGTATCGACCTTCTCCGTGAAACGTAAAAAAAAAAAATCAATGGTTGGAATTACGAAAGGTTTCTTAATTCCTGCAATAAAGTTAAGCTTTTTTCGAAGTGTGGGACGACTCTGACCATTTAACGTTGAGATTTGGGCCTTGTTGTGAAAAGGACACGTGACCACAGCGTGCAGTTAATTGTGGAGTGGTTGCTCCGAGCATCACTTGACATTTTCGAAGCGATGACGGCGCTACCGATTTTTCAAAAGTGTTTGCCGTTTACATCAAAAGAAGCTTAACTTGGCTGTCAGCTGGAATGAAAGGGTTCTTCCTCGGGCATTCACGCAATTCGCTCTATTCTTTCTTAAATAACTTATAATTAGTTTAAAGTCCTTCGTCTATTCGAAACGTTTGATTAGTCTATAATAGATTTTTTTTTATTAGTACTTGTAACTTAATATTCTGGATAAAAAATTAATTCAGAATGAAATAGGCAATAGAAAAGTTCATTATAACTTACTGCGGTGATTATTTAGACTTTTCCTGTGTAAATTAGAAAGTAATTTAAACAAGATTTTGCTCGATATTCTCTCCTAGTTTAGTTATTATTATTTAAGTAATGATTGAAAAAATAAAATCTAAAGAAGAATCATTAATGTTGGACTGAAAAATTGATTTTTTTCTTTTTTATAAATCATTAAATATCATTATTTGTCGAAAAATTTTCGTTAAAGAACTTTGTTTTTCTGAAACAATTACAAGAATCCGTTGTTTTAGATATATTTAGCTTTCTAAATCGAAATTCAAAAAAGATAATTCTACGAAAGAGTCATATTTTATACTTAGAAAGCCTTTCTTAAATTATAAATTAAATTATTATGACAAAATTTATACTGAATTCGAACCTATATGGATTGTATGGATCAAAGCTTTACTAAATTATACTGAAGAATGCTCAAATTGAAAAATCTTCTTCTGTTATGAAATATGAATCCGAAAACAAGAAATTAGTTTTGTTAATTGTTGGCCACGAAGAAATTCTATTCATGCTGGTAGTAGTCACTTTCCTATCACCAATCTCCTTAACGATGATAAGCATGAAAGTCTGTTATTCGGAAATGAGGAAATCGTGACAAACCTCCGTGCAATCCGATGCCTTTCAAAAGTTTTTTTCAGTGATAGATCCATTAAGATTTTTTCTAAAACATTTTCGTTATATTTTTAAAACTAAATTCTATGTATTAAAATAAATATCGACGAAGCATCTCTCAATATTATATAAATTATAAAGAAATTTATCCTGTTTCGAAATGAGAATAGATTTGAATAAGTTTTGAGGAGAGTTTTTCTAGTTTTGAATCGTTATTATATACAGATCTGTATGAACAAATAACGCTTAAACACTTAAAATATTTGTAAATTATAGACAGATTTTTAACTTAAAAATTCGGGATTTTTCAAAATAATAGGCTGTAATAAAAATACCTTCTCATAAAATATGTTTAGAACATATCATAATGAATGAATCCTATAAATTTGTAGTGGATCTTTATTGCTATAATTTCATTGGATTCATTTAAATTAGATGTTTCCAATAAAACTTTTATTGTTTTTTTTTTTTTGCAAATATTTTCATTTCAAATGATTATATAAAAGTATAGTTATAATTTTTAAGTCACTTATAGAATTTGACTATTGTCTGTCACTTATTACATTCATTATAATAATATATTAGACATGTAGGCCTATAAGCTATTTAAAATGATTTTTCATGTCTGTTAAGTTTTTAACTGATCATTCCCAAATTTACATAATAATAAAAGTTTTATTAGAATGTATGGCGTAACCTATAAGCTTTTATTTTAATAAATTTTTAGATACGAATGCTTCAAAATGTTGATAAAATTTTAAAAAATACTATAAGATATTTTTTATTTAAAGAGATTTCAATATTTTCTCTTGCATCTATGTAAGAAACTAAGTGAATTCTTAGAATGTTGCTGCTATGTGACAGTATTGCTGGTTAAAATCCAGAAGAGACTTTATAGCTTTTGAACAAAACATAAAATAAATAATGATTTATAAAATAAATGGGATAAAGTTATAGAATGGGAAAGTTGAGGTTGCTCTAACTTAAATTGTCCAACTGATCTGAGAGAAAAATATGAGAATGAAAGTTAGTATAGGTGCCCAAACCGAACTGTCAAATGAAATGACCAGTAAATCGACAGAAATCGCCAGCTTACAGAACGTCGAGCATCAGCTATTGTCTCTCATCGCAGAGCCGATATATACCGCTGGGGGTCACGTGTTCGGGGACCGGTCAACTTTATGTAGCTCAGTCGACTATAAATAATAGCAGGGTGGCTGACGTGAGGTATAGGTCTTATCATTCTCAGCCACTCCCCAGGTTTTGGATGCCTGTTCCATGATAACAAATACGCAGGACCACAGCACACTTCCGGTATGGTTTCGATTGCATCCCCTTGCTGGTGGGGGAAACGTAATCGTCGCGCCCTCACCACCCCGTAAAGGAGGATCCTACACAATGATATCCATCCCGCATCACTCGGATCCACTTCCCATTCATCCACACTAGATGTATATGTATTTATGTATATACTCGTATATAACCGTATACTTATCGGGTGCAGGATATCACAGTCACTTATTACATTCATTACGTGGTCCATGAATAGGAGAGAGTTAGTTTCGGCATCACACCCTTTTCCCGCATCCGGTCTTATCTTGTACGATCTTAGAGTGGTTTAATCTTCATTAAGATTCAAATACAGTAGCTATATCTCAAATATTCGTTTTAAATACTCCTTAATATTGTAATTAATTGATGTATTTGAGTTTTAATAAACTTTGATTTATGTAGATTTAGAGAAAAATTCTAACGCAATGTTCTCTTCTATGGAACGAACTCTTTCTTGCTTACATCCAAACAACTCCTACAGATCAACAGAATTAAGTACAGATGTATAAAGATTCGTCGTTGTGTGAACTATCTGAGAAGTTGCGACCCATATTTCTCAATGTAATGTAAAGTATATATATAAAAACGTAGGCTATACCTCTCAATTATTTGTTACGAATTCATTATCAATATTTAGATACTCGGAACAGTGGTATTTGCTATCGGATCGAGAGTTTTCAACCAAGTTCAGATATTTTTAGGTAGGTAAATTTCAAAGTATATCAATCCCAACGACAGATGCCCATATTTCTCCGACAAGTAAGTTCCATTGTTTGTAAATGCTTTCAGCCAAACATAACTGGATCGGTACCAAATGCTTCCTTCCTCCATGTCAATGACGTCATTATCCCTCTTGCTGATACGTGCGACAAAAGTACAGCATCTCAACGTGGCCATGGACTCATTAATGTCAATGCACCGATCTCCAGATATAGAGAACGGCCAGTCGGTGCGTTGGGCCCGGCTGGAATAAGGAAACTCCGCCTTACGAGAAGCTGCAACTGTCGATGGCGGATCGTTAAGCTTGTGGTTTGGAGTCGCTAGCGATACCTGTCTTACGACGCTCGTCCGTCAAACTTGTAACTAGGTAAGTTGAACATTATTTGTAAGCTTAACTGTAGTATAGAGCCGCTGCCCCTGAGTGGCGATTCCTCCTTCGGACCCGACGACCTTGGGGTCAAGCATCTTTACACCTATATTTATGAATCGATAAATCGGTTCGATTCTAATTTTAGTCTCGCCTTAGTTAACACTCGTAAGTTTTAATGACGCGGGGCTTCTTCCGTCTTTATAATTAAGCGAATATTCAAATATTAAAAAAAAATTATGCTGCTTAGTCTAACTCGATGGATTTAAAGCTTGATTTAAGGAAATTTAGGCTTAGATACAATTCAGAAAATATCGCTTAAATATGAAAACTTTTATTCGGAAGATTTTTCCATTACATTTTGTAGTATTTAATTATATTACATTTTTTATATCTGTTCTTTTAATGGAAATAGTAAACACATATAAACCAGGGGATTCTAAAGTTATTGAAGTGTTGAAAGCGAAAGGCACGCAGCTGTCCTAGGTCCTGAGTGGCGAAAGAATCTTGTAAAAATTTTTATTATCGGGAAATACCAACTAACAAATCATTAAAAATACTTATGCTTAATTAGCAGTTTTACTTCGAGCCGACACAAATTACAGTCCGGAAATTCCCACACAGACATGCGAACAACGTTGAAGATTAACCGTTTTCCCAGATGGCAGAAACATTATCCCGATTCTTAAGATAACAAGCAAAATTTTATGACACGGGGAGAAGATTTTGCAGACATATACTTATCGTATTCCAATCGGTAGACACAGGTCTAGTTTTCTAATATTCTCCACAAGGACCGGCCTTCTATCGTCCGAAGGATCAGATCGCAGTGGGCAACCATCCACAACGAAGTTGGGCGACGCGGCGACGGGCGCCTATAGGGCTCCGAGTGCCGAGAATAACCCAAAATTCTTCGACGCTCGTTGGTCTGCTGATTATACCTGGTGGTGTATGTTAGAGATGTGAAGATTGGGCTACACAAAGCGGAGCGAAATGACTGTTGCAAATTAATGTTAACGTCTGTTAAATAATCTCGTCTACGCCTGTTACGAGTCTAGTTACTTTTGCCGACATAAGACTATCGAAGCTATGTAACTTCCCTTCTTGCCACATCTTTCACTCACTCCATTCATCTACTGTACTACAGATATCGTTTCTCTTAAGAATTGTTTACGAAATTTAATTCTTGAATTTATTAATCGATAACAGTTGTTTGTGATTAATATTTTTCACTCGAGATCCAATCAAATTTTTATTCCCGTTCTTATTACAGAACGTGTAATTTGTTATTAATTTTAAACTTTAAAATCTAATTAAAACAATCAAATTTGAATTTTAAATTTTATAGGATTTATCTTAAACGAGTAAGTTATAGGCGCTATAAAATGCAGGTAGACAAATAGCCTAAATCTATTGTTTTATTTTAAACATATATCCCATTTACTACTTTGATAATTATAAAATTTATAGATAAAATGTATATTTTATAAAAGTATTAATTATAAAAAAAAAATATTTTCTAATATTAAATATATTGGCTTTAAACTGAGGAGAGAAAATTTAATGAAAATTTGATCGAAAAAGTCTCTTTCGTAAGTAAAATTTTGTAAAATATTGACTCAACAGTGATTATAAATATTTAAAATTAATTTAACTTAAAAAAATCTAAAACTATAATAAAGAAAAAAATCATTTAGATAGAATCTATTTAAATTTTTTGCTTAATAAAATTAAATGTAACTTAATTTTACCCTTGTAAGATTTATTGCCAAAGAAAAGTATACAAAGGTCTATCTCGTCTTTGTATTTGATATAGTAAATTGGTAAAATATTGTAAGCTTATATCTTTGACAATAAATCTCTATTGGAAAAGCAATTTTTTTCTATGTTTTTTTTTTNCAAATCAGTTTACGAAATTCCTCCGAAAGATTGTGTTTATCTGACGCATAATTTAGATTTTAGCTTTTAACATCTACTTTTAAAAGTCATCTGTTTGTTATCCACGAAAATTATTCAATGCAAAAATTAATTTCCTAGTCCCGGTCAAATGTATTTGCTTCAGATTCATTTATCACATTTTTAATTAAGAACAAACATTTCCTTTAAAATAAAAGGAAAGATTTTTATTGAAATTATTAAACTGTAGTTAAAAAAATTAAAATTTCATATTTTATTTTTTAATAATTTGAATAATTTCGTCATAATTTACGAAGTTTTCTACGGACCAAAGAGACCATAAGCAATGAAACAACCATTAGGCTTAATTCCGATCATTTTGTCTAAGCTTAACCTGTTGTGTTTATCGTTATATTTTTATTTAACAATGGCATATATAAACTGAAAACAAAATAGATTGCGTGTTAATAGATAAGCTTAACAATAAAAAAAAAATATGTAGACTATAAAATTTTCTTCATACGAATATAAAAATATTGTTTTCTACATTTGTTACATGAAAAAATAGGTACAATAATAAGTTATTTAAACTGTAGGCTCTGTATCAAAATTCCAAAACTATCAAATAGTTTCTAGATTTATAGGTCTTAAACATTAAATTTTAATAACAAAATTTAACGTATAGGATAATATACGTAATCATATAATTTTACATAAAGTTTTAACTATAGACTTACTGCTATTAAATTTCAGTATAAGCTATATACTTAGATGAATTGCAATAATTAAGTTAGACTAATAATTATAACTATGTAAATTGAATTATATATTAACATTTAAGACGTGCTTTTAGAATAGCAAAACATTAGATAAAAAGTTTTATTTAATAATATTTAAAAAAATAGTAGAAAAAAATGTTGAAATAGTTATATCATAAACCTCACATAGGCGATTTCGCATCTTGAAATATTCTTAATGTCAGTGAATTTTCTTTGGCATTGTCGGTTGTCTTAAAATGAACAAGTCTCCCATCGACTACAACTTGTTCGTATTATACAGCCGATAAAAATCCATTGATAGTATCACATTTAGTTGGCGGACAAGTTACAGATAAGCTTATCAGCCAAACTGATAAACTAAGACTGTTGTTTTCGCTACTGAAGTGCTAGACCTATAACAGTGAACTGCCACACCATCTGGAATGAGTTGCAATCGCTCTGATGTAATCACATTCAAAGTTAGATACGATTACTTAATCTAAATAGTATCTTTTTCTTTCCTTTTTCTATCCTTATATTCGTGCAAAATTAGCCTAACGCAACATGCTCTGTATGACACGTTACCGATTTAATTTAAGCACTTTACGGTCTATCTAAATGTCATTATTTGATTCGATTTTGGTTTCAAATTTTAAAGATATCAGCAGATACATAGGCCTAGATATCATTTCATCTAACGTATATCCTAAATTTACTATTTTGCACGTAACAAGTGTACGAGATTTGTTTACTATATTCGATTCGATCCGATAGATTTATTCAAATAAAATTTAAAAATGTTAATAGGCCTAATTTTTTATTTTAATGTAGACTCATAATGAATTTATATCACTTCAATTTCGTGTAATTTTTTTATACCCTATAGGAACATAAATTAAAGGCAGGATATTAAAATCGAGAATATGTAGATTAATAGTGTGTCGCCGATTTTTTCTTCCGAAAAAGTCAATTTTTCACGATTAATGATAGTCACCCGAGTTAAGGATAGAAAAAAAAGCAGGCCGGTGACAATTACGATCAGTCTTTTCTTTCCAAATAGGGTTTTAACATTATTAAAACCGTCCTAGCTATTTTTTTTTTCCTTTTGACTTTTAATCGCTAAAGTTTTTGTCCAATTACAAAAAAATGTTTAATTAAAACTACTTTTTAAAATATAATTTCTCTTTTAAAATATATATAAGAATGTTTATTAATGTGTATATATATGTGTGTGTGTATTTTTGAATATAAAAATTATTATTTTTTTATTTTTTGCCGAACAAGAAAATACATTTCTGTAAATCGGGTGAAAAGAGATAGCGTTCTATCATTTGACGCTAATGGATTCTTCGTTTATAAACTACTGGGTTCAACTTGGAAGGGGGAAAGAAGAGAATTGAAGGTGAGAATAAATTTTCTCGTTAGGCCTAAATTTATTTCGATGAACTCCTCTGAGGGGAAGAGAATCAAGGGAAGTGTAATGCACCAATGCCTTATCGCATCATTAGCGACCAAATCTGATGACGCACACCGGAACATTCATTACCGCCTTGGTCGAACCTTCAATGTGCCGTTCGACGCCATATTTACTGCTTTTGAGAGTAAAATGAACGTCTATATAAACATTCACTAGTAGATCCTACAATGTCTTTTGGTATCTGTCGGTTATTGCCTTCTTGATTAGGAAAACTTGCCAAATCAGTTTACGAAATTCCTCCGAAAGATTGTGTTTATCTGACGCATAATTTAGATTTTAGCTTTTAACATCTACTTTTAAAAGTCATCTGTTTGTTTCCACGAAAATTATTCAATGCAAAAATTAATTTCCTAGTCCCGGTCAAATGTATTTGCTTCAGATTCATTTATCACATTTTTAATTAAGAACAAACATTTCCTTTAAAATAAAAGGAAAGATTTTTATTGAAATTATTAAACTGTAGTTAAAAAAATTAAAATTTCATATTTTATTTTTTAATAATTTGAATAATTTCGTCATAATTTACGAAGTTTTCTACGGACCAAAGAGACCATAAGCAATGAAACAACCATTAGGCTTAATTCCGATCATTTTGTCTAAGCTTAACCTGTTGTGTTTATCGTTATATTTTTATTTAACAATGGCATATATAAACTGAAAACAAAATAGATTGCGTGTTAATAGATAAGCTTAACAATAAAAAAAAAATATATAGACTATAAAATTTTCTTCATACGAATATAAAAATATTGTTTTCTACATTTGTTACATGAAAAAATAGGTTAACTGTAAATAGGCTAATCAGAGTGTTTACAGTTTTATTAAGCTA